AGAATTGGAGAACCGAGGGTTTGGTCTTCGGTCTCTTTAGTTTGGTCCTTTGTTCTGGGCAAGCGGATTGATGATGCACAATCAAGCATACGGTGTTGGCCAACTCCACCGCCTACTCCGTGACATCTAGGCATAGCTCTGCCTAGCCAACATCGAAAACATGACACATCCATAGCCTCATCCACCACATCCATATGACCGAGCTCCACCAACCTATTCTCCCCATTAGGTATTGTTCGTTTGATCCAAAACAAAGAAATTGAAGGGGATTGAGGATGATTTTGACTTGTAGATGATTTAATCCCCCATAATCTTATCGAATCCCCTTGATTTAGGATCAAATGAATGGGCCCTTGAGGAGCTTCTTGCCTCCATGTTCTTGCCCACTCTAACGCTACCTCCCTTCTCTTCTCAAACTCCACCTCCGCTAATGCCTCACACACATCAACCTCTATGTGCCCCCGTTTGTGGATCTGGAGATGACGAACTTCATCTCACCGTGGTATAACATGCGAGTGGTGCAGCTGAAGCCCTAGAGATAGAAAAGAGTCCTATGGCTGAGCAAGCGACAACGAGGGCAGCGAGGAGCTACAACAATTGTGCTTCGAGGATTCGGATAGGGTCGACGGTGGGTTTTAATAAGACCCAAAGTCTATTTTGTGTGAGTGTTAAACCCTACATGGATTTTAATATAGGTTCCTACACAATATTTATTACTGAAGCTAGTTGGCATTAGCTTGACCCCAAAACTTAGTGTCAATATTGCCGATGCCTTTGTTACTGTATTTGGAAGCTATGCTGGTTGACACAAAACGTTCTCTTCATTGGCCGACTACCAACTTTAAAACTTGTGGTGGCTGAAGTTACTAGTGACAATGGTGTCACAGAAATCTACCAAAAAGGAAGCATGGAGACAAACCGAAACCATGCCGAGAACATGTACATGATCATGAGAGAGCGCGAATACATGCGATAGTTGGGATTGCCATTCTTCTATGTTGTTCCTATTCATTAAGGGTCTGATTGGATGCTCACACGTGTTTGGGCTAGGTTGCTGGGATGTAGTTACAAATTGTTTTGATGTCTGCACCATGACTTAGGCTAGATCCCACTCGTGCAAATCTCCCCCACTGGCATGGCTTAGGGAAAAGAAAATGAATCTTGTTTCCTCGTGGGTCGGCTTCCGTGGGACGCGACGCACGCTTGCCGACATCCGTTTGCGGATCTCCTAGGCATACTAGTGCTCGAACATCTTGCAATCAAACAATCACTCCTTGCTTCCCCGTGTCGTGGGCACATGCAACCATACGGTCATGCCTTTGCATAGGGGGAACCTAGCCAATGGCGGCCTGGACGCGAGATGTGAGACAAGCTGGGACGGGGAGCCTAAGATGATGTAATATGATCATGACAAACGATTTTCTTTTAAACAGGGAGGTATTTGCTAACTTCTAAACTGGCATATGGTTTTCTGAAAGTTCTTACAAAACAAAGTGTAGAAGAAATTAAAATCTGGCCAGACAATATGTCAATCAGAATTCGATGGCAATTTCGTGTGAATCTTGATCACACTACCATATTAGCGGTTAGCTTTTGACATACGGGAATACCTGACTCGTTACATTCTAAAAAAATTTATATATATACACGAGGACATTGTGTTTGCTTCGTTATCTTGCATGTGCATCTTCCAAAAAAAACATCAATATGGAAGGGGTACTTGTACATGTAACCGTGCTTTATTTAAACAGCGACCACAAATTCAGTTGAAAATTAGACCAATATACCAATACCGTCCCAATGTCCCACGGTAACGCTGGCTTGGATCGCAAATTCGCAATCTATATTTATCAGCCAGCCGGCATCTAGTGATGAACGTTTGAGCAGAGTTGTGTTGGGAATGTCCTGAGTTCCTGGTGTTTGACTCACGTTCGGTCACACAAAATGATTTTACACTCACACAAAAAGCATATACTCCATATATATCAGCAGCCTCAAAGTCGAAGTCAAAACGGAACAGCGCTGCAACAGGCTACTTGTGAGATCTTTTTCTAAAATAATATTATTTTAATATTTAATTGCAGATCTAGAAGCTGTAATAGTGAAATTGCAAATTTAAAAGCACTAATAGGCAAACCAGCAGCCGATGGAATCCAATCGGCATTTGGATTGCCGATATGTGCCGCCACATGCCACAGGCAGCATCCACGTGGGGTTATTTGGCATGTTGGCATGCGAGAGGCCGATAGGGCCCCGCCTCACGTCAGAAATCTGGCGCCATCACCAGGAGATCGCCGGCCTGCGCCCGAAGAAGCCCTCTAAACCCAAGCCAGCCAACCGCGGCCGCGTCGCCAAGTTCTACCAAAACCAGGCCGAGGCCGCCCAAAGGTGAAAGCTCTACGCCTTTACCTCCGCACGACCAAACAACACTTGCGACCTCCTTTTGCTCATCTGGATGTTTAGGTGCTGATTTATGTGGAAACTGACTGGCCAGCTGTTGTTCAATTCGATCCAGGTTGAATGCTTACCATCGTATTCCTGAACCAAACCTGAAATGAAGCTTTCGTTCAATTCGATTGCAGTAGGTTGTAGATTAGGATTGTGTCTGCATACCGCATGCCCACCCACTATCTGATCTCGTTAGGTGTATGTTGATGCTGCAGCTCTTCATGTGGGCGTGGTTGCAATTATAGTTAAATCGAAGCAGGGAAAGTTGCTTAAGCTATCTATTTCAGCTTTTCAAACTTGATTCAACTTCATCTGCAGTTTGGTACAATGCCTAAAACACCTTAAGGCATCATCACCTGCATTTTTGTGTTCTTCGTGTTTACCCTCTGGATGCCTATCTCAAATTCCTACATTTCTTGTCATGCCTACTATTGGTGCTAAAGTAAAGCTGTTTGTTGCAATTCAAAGAAAAACCTAGACATTTCAAATTTTAGTTCATACAAATCGATATACTGGTACTTAAAAGCTATACTGGAGCTAACTATGTCCATGTTTGTTCCTCATGACAGGTTTTTTTTCACCTTGTATTGCGAATACTAGCAGTCCTATTCTCAGAAACTGTATTTTGCTATTGAATTACTTAGGCATAGTTGGGAACTAGGGATGGAAGAAAAATAAAGCCAATATCCGTAGCAGGATTCAATGTGGTTTATCTAGTAAAACACGAGTTGTTGTTGAAATAGCTTATGTATCCTTTCTTATTTAAACCACTAGTAATTGCACTTTGTATATTGTACATCGTGAGCATGTATTCTGGAAACATGACTATCTATAAACTCATATAATTTGATTTATCTTGCTGTCTCCTTAAACCTTGAAGTTTTCATATTTTATCTTGGCCTGCAATGCCACTACTAATATTACTGCAAGAAAGTAGGTGCCACCCTTTAGTTCATCATACATTTCCATTGCTCCTTAATGTCATTCCTTCCTTTCAGTGATCAGCAAGTACATAGAACCTAAGGACGAAAGAACATTGTTAGATGGTACTGTATCCGTTGCTTGTAGTTGTAGGTTACAAATTACAATAGCTGTTTAAGTTTGCTGTGGCTCCATTTACTACCTACATCATACAACAGTGGTTGAGAGTGTTTCCAACTTGGCCACGAATGGTTTGATGCTTTCTAGAAGACTAGAACCTTTTTGATTACTCAGAGAGCTGAGCTTGTTTTTTAATCCATCCTATAACTTTACAATATACCACGCTTACTAGCAAATTGTATCATGAGTTCTGTCAAGATGGCTAACAGTAACAGTAATGTATTTTGGGTGCTCAAAAACCTTTGCTATTTAGACTTTTAGGGTGTTGCTTCCGTTTTCAGATATTACCCCAATGTTTCAATCATAGTGTGCTTACCGCAAAAGTTACACTATGTTTGCAACTACAAATTGTTTTAGTTTCAGGCAGATAGATCATGAAGAAGCAGAAAATGACCGTACTCTTTCACTTGTACACATGGTCACAAATCACTAACCTGTTTTTTGTTGTCTACTAACAGGAACAACAAATTAGAAGGGACATCTTAAGAGAAAAGAGTCAGCACTTTGTAATAAGTACCAATTGCACACTGTCGTATGCAAATTCCCTAGTTCTAGTTAGAATGCAATGCTACTGATGCTGGCGGTTTTCTAGAAGAGAATATATATCAGCATTTGATGGGAGCTTCCTGCTTGAGGATACATCAGGCTTATGATACTAGCGTATCTAACTGTATATTGCATGACCTTGTAAAGTAAGGACCTTATGATTTTAGATTGTACATATACCTTCCTGTACAGGAATGAAGAGAACCACTTATCCTTCGGAATATCAATGTACTACCTTCTCTTGTGCAAAGTTTTTCTTTGTTAAGTTCAGCTCTAATCATTGGCTTATGATGGCATTTATAAAGATGAAAACTGCTTTATATGATGCCAAGCTGCGGGGATTGTGCCGTGCACTCATTCTTTTCCGCTTTGCTGAACAACGATCATCTATTCAATTAGCCAATAATTTCGTAACTGATCCCTCTGGGAAGGATGAAGATCTTTACTCACCTGGCATCTGGCAAGAGGGAAGCCATACATTCTTTAACTTCAAACAATGCCTAAACCAACAGTGTCTAAACCATGTACTTCAAACAGTGCCTAAACCAGAAGTATATGGTACTCTACGATTGAGGAAGCCAATGTCTTCAAACAGTGCCTAAACCAGAAGTACATGGTACTCTACGATTGACGTAGGTAACACCGAGGAAGCCAATGGATTTGAAGGAAAAAAATCCATAGCAACCCAAACCTAAGTATCCTATGTCGGGGGAAAAATTTTCAAACATAAGCCCTAACTTCCATTTTTCATTCCAAAGTCAAACTATATAATACAACGGCTAAGATCTGAAGTCCATTTCATGCCAAGATATCAACAGATAACTAGAGATACTATGGTTGTTCAGGTTACAAACAATAGCAAATAGCTCCTGAAGTAAAACGGGAGGTGCAAATGTCCGGCACAGCTATGAACATGGGGCCTCGTTCTCAAGATCAACCTGAACCTTTGTCCTCTTGATCCTTGCCGGCGATTTGCATTCTGTGTCTACAAACGGGTTTTTGTTCTTGGATGGCCGCGGAGAAATGGTGCCTACCTCAGATTCGCTTCTCTCATCTGATGTCGATTCAGGTGACACTGTCGTTTGTGGCTTAGTTGGAACTTTTAGTGACACATTGCCGGCCTTCTGTTGCTCTTCCAGTATTTTCTGCAAGTATCTTGCATGTTCCTCTATCCGTAGCTGCAGCTGCCTTTGTACCTGGTTGTGAAATCCAAATCATCAGTGCTGAAAATATTTGATAATTGAGTGTTTGTTACTACATGTTTCCTGACTATTTCCGATACCACATGATAATGGGTGTGGATACTAGACCCTGTTTAGATCCACCTTGCTAATAGTTAGCAACTAAGAATTAGCAAGAGTGGATCTAAACAAGCCTATGCTAAAGGCCAAAAGGGTGGTGCTAACTTCTAGCAAGAATTTGAAAGGTAAAGGTTGCTAGACAGTGCTAAAAATTGGCATGCTAATTTAGTGGATCCAGTGCCTAAACCAGAAGTACATGGTACCTGCAATATATTCGATTCTGATTATTGAATTCTAATTTTTATGGTCAAAATTTATAGTATACAATTAATTCTTTTAGGTATTCATTGATTGTATATAAGTTGGCCAGTTAAAGGATAGGATGAACAGAACGCAAGTGGACATATAGAACTGAAACCAAACTCCATACTAATTCCTTGAATGATTTCGGATAAATTTATTAATCAGGCATGTTAGAACTTGTGAGATGTGATAACATAGCCTGCACTCTGGATGTTCTGATACCCACCTCTAATTGTTCATGAAGCTGTTTCTGAACCTCGATTTGCATCCTTAGAGCTTCTGCCACTTGTAAATTCCTAAGAAACATGTTAAGGAAAGGGATGTAAAACTCTAAGGTCGTGCTGCTTATGTGCATGTTTCCCTACTTAAGTGATCAGAGGACTCACTTGTTTTTGCTTGAATCACTGCCGCTCTTTCCTGATTGTGCTTTTTTATCCTCCGAAGAAGCCTTCTTATCTACACAGAGTAAGCATTTAGGATTTTCGTTCTTTTCAGAAAAAGGCTGCTATTATAAAGGACACAGTAAGTAGGTAATTTAAGCTTACCTTCTTTAGGCCCAGGAAGATATTTCGCAAGCCGATACTTCTATATGAAGAGTATAGGAGAGAAAATGTAAGTTATAATGAGAACATAGAAGGGAGAATTAATTTTCACTGGAAACAATTGTACACTTGTACCTGCAGATGGCTCTTCACATGATAAATGGTTAGACCTTCTACCTTCATTAGTTTCAGCACACCCTTAGGAGTTGCTTCTGTAAAGATATGAAAGCAAACTATTTATTAAGGATGGTCTGTCAAATATAGACAACCTGAAAACATGTGAGAGATAAAGCAAAATGGCCAACTTACTTTCAGGTCCTTCAAGCTTTTTTACGGCCTCCAAAAAACGCTCATGAAGCTCAAGTGTCCACCTCAACCTTGACTTGTTAGTTGTTGCAGAGCTAGAAGATGACTGAGATGAGCTAAGCTGGACCTTAACTGGTGATCCTAGATTCTGTATACTCTGAGTGGAGCAAGATGATACTGGAAGTGATGACAGCTGTGGTGGTGTGCCATATATGTCCTAAAAACAACGTGTCAGAGGAATATCACCATAAAACATCTATAAACTGGAACAGAGGATCTGGTGTGCTGCAAAGCCCAAACTGTTACCGTCAAATTATAGTGGAGCAGTGTTTCTGTAAGGAGCTCGGTTAACTTACATCTAAATGAGGACTCTTCTCATTGTCAGTGATGGCAATTCCTAGCTGCTCAGACAGGAACTGAAATTCCATCTGTTCATCAAAAGCCAAGGCATTGTTTTCTCGGAAGCTGCCATCAGAAGCTTCTCCAGAAAGATCGAGGAAGTCTTTCAGATCATCTGACTGTTCAGCTTCATCTAAACCATTGCCAGTATCACCACTTAAGAGCAGAGAGGAGCTTGATGACTGCCCAGCTGAAACATGCTGCTCACACTTAGGGGGGTGAGGCAGGAAAGGTAAAGTGCCCATTTGACGGCATGGCTCTGTTTTTGTCGAAGATGACGAAAACAAGCTTGTGCAGAATGTCGAAGAATTTGAGAACATGGGTTCTGAATATTTAGGATGTGAGACATGAGACTGCGGGCTATCAGGATCAGATTCAGGGCTTCTTTTCTGAAGGTTAACTGATAGGCTCCTTGACAAGCTTGATGACCGGATCAACTCAGTCTTGATGTTTGATGACTGACTCGTGGATGCCAATGTGTCATCCATCAAGCTGTGGTGATCTAATTTAGCATCGAACATCTTATGAACTGAAGGTGCAGAGGCATGTCCTGTTTTGTCAGGAGTGGCGATTTGCTCCATCGCAAGAACACTCTGAGAGTTCATTGCTTGCAAATGGTTTCTGGACTCGATAATCACCTGCCTGCACATGACAATCGATGTCGATAGTTATTAGAACACTGCAATGCTGCAAATTTCATTAGCTCCTCTGTTATAGAAAACAAGATAAGTACATAAGAAATCCTATTGTTTGGAATGTGAATACCAAATGCCACATAAATACACATACAAGAAGAAGCTTGCTTAGCCCATATAGATCTAATTCCATGTTTTAGTAACTTATTGTTCAGATAAACAGTAGTTCTGACCTCTGTTTGACTAAAAGATGATCATTCGTACAGTATTTAGATGAAAACACCTAGGCAACCAAACAGGTGATTTATTTTGGCATAATTGAGCAAACAGCCACATGGCCAGGAAAAATACAGTAAAGTTTACACACAGCTGCTCTATGAGAGAAAGGAAAGGAGGAAGAACTCTAAAAATCCAGAAAACAATTCTCTGAAAGAAGAAACCTCTAAATACTATTCACGAGTTTCCTGATGTTTTCGCTGCAGTTAAATTCTCACTTACTAACCAAGTAACCAAATGTTTTGTTTCTTTTCGCAAATAAAACGAAAGAAAGGAAAATAAAATACTGTGGTTTGCAAAAGACTAGATTCGAGGTTCCATGAGCATTCCAGAAAATTAATCCATTTTATGAGGTGAGTACATGCTGTGCTGTCCGTCAGTGAGGCATGCTGTACACGCCCATACTCTGCTCAGGTGCTGCACTCACAGCTTCAGAAGTCAAGTCGGGGAAACCTGGGCATGCAGCTGGTGAACAGCCCTAAGAAACTAGACCGGACTCCAGGTCAAATATATCAGAAACAACACAAAAAGGTTCATCAAAACAAAGGAAGACGTTCGAACTCGAAGGTTCAAACTTCACTGCAATTGCTAATTCCAATCGGTGTACGGAATGCAAGGGCATAAACTTTGCCGCAACACATGCATAGCGCTAGCGCTACCAACCAGAAAAATGGGAGAAGTTAAAGGCAAATCAAGAATGAGGCTTGTTTGCCTTTGGAGATTGATGTGTCCAGAAGTTCAGAACAGAAGGAATCGCTAAATCTTGCGAGAAATCGGGGTTAACTGAAGCCAAGGACCCAAAGGGCCAAAGGGGAGACATCGGCGTGCAGATAGGATAGACGGATCTTTGTAACCTCGGCTCACCTGAAACTCCAGCGACGAGACGGATTACAGGAGATTCAGAATCTGGAGGCTGCCAAGTGCCAATCGTCTCTCACTCCACCAGTCTCCACTCCTATCCACGACCAAATCTCCCTCTCTCTCTGGGAGGGCTATAGGTGCCCAAATCCTATCTCTCTTCTTGCAAATCATTGGCTCGGTGCCCCCCTTTCTTGGTGTGCGCCATCCTGGTATGGTTGGTTGGGTGGCTGTTTTGCTTTCGGTCTTCTTCGAGCTCGAGGGGGTTAATAATGAGCAGCCTCCCTCACTGGAATCTTGCATTTCTGGTTCGTTTTTCTGATTTTGTTATTTCTCGAGATTTGTCCATATCTATTCTCTTCTCTCCATCAACCGAATTTATTTTTCTTTATTTTTTACTATATATAAACCCTGAGATTGAAGGTGCACAAGAGACGTCAGTTCCCACCAACCATTTGCAGTAAATTTTCTGGGGTTGTAACCGGCCCATTTTCGGTTTAGTGTTGGTATGCGTCAATGCTGTCACCAGCCATGCTTGCTCTGTGTTTTTCTGTAATGATTATGTTGCCATCTTGAAACGATGTGTGCCAACTTGCTGCTAATATTTGTTCTATTGCAAACCATCTGCGACAATCCAGGAGTGGCAACCACAAAGTTGGGTGGATTTGCCATGAACTAAAGCCTTCTGAGTTCTGATCCGAGTACGGTAACGCTACCGTTCAGAAAAGCTGTTTTACACCCCTTCTAAATCAACGTGGAGACGGTGAAGCCACATTTTATTGATTCTGAATATCGCAGCGCCGAGTTAGAGTTGGAGCTGACTTTTAAGTATGTTTTTTTTCGAACCGAACTTTTAAGTAAGTTAACCCTGCCGTTCACTTAGCTGATAAGCCATGACTGAAAGTAATGTTGGCTGATTTATTGTGAGAAAAAAATATTGTTCGTTCGCTGAAAAAGTACGGCTTATAAAACAAAATATATTTTGACATATAATTTCTCTTATAATATATAATTTATAGAAACAAAAGTTTGATCATTTGAAAGTATTTCTAAATAGAAGTTTAATGTAACTACTTTTGTAATACAAACTTTTGATATAATTAGGCTAATTATCAGTAAAAGATAATAAAGTTTGATTTTTGAAATACTTGCATGCCTTATATTCGGAGGAGGGGTATTGAAAGCTGGCGGTGTGACAAATAAATTTGTTGCAGCCGGTGCCAAAAATAGAAATGATTTAGTTTGTTTTTGAGATATATTTTGTTATTTTTTCACCACTAAGGCCTGTTTGATCAAGCCGGCTAAATTTAGCTGTTAGGGATCTAAATGGCCTAGCTAAAAGGCCAGCTAAATTTTAGCTGAGTTTAGCTGTTTTAACCCAGCTAAAGTTTAGCTGAGTCTATTTGTTGGAGTATCTAAACATCCTAGCTAAAGATTAGCTAGGAGAAATTTTAGCTAGCAAAAATTTAGCATCTCCGAGAATATTTAATATTTTCTTTCTAAAAACATGAAGTTTTACAACTCTTTTTTAGTATTGAAAAGAATAAAGAAGGTCATCTTCAAAAGTTTCTTATAATCCACTCCTAAAATATACAAGACAACTTTACACCAGGAATCCTATACTATTTCTAAATTATCCTAACCACTTTTATATATTATTTCTCTCTTGTACATTTGCATCATAAATCATTTCCTACTATTTATTCTTTCCACGTCCTTTCACCTTTAGATTAGCCGATAAACACGCGCGGGAGAGAAGATACGCGTGACTCGGAAGCGTGTAACTTTACGCTTACGCGGATCAGGGTGATTTTTCTCAAGTTCTAAAAGATTAGAATGATAGATTAGGAGTTGTTAGAGCGGGTTTTTTCTCATCTCGCTAAAAACTAAAGATTAGTAAGGCATTTAGGGAGCTCTGCTGCTTTAAAATTTTAGCTAGCTAACTTTAGTTGAGTGGGTCCAGCCTAAGACGTTCTACCAAGTACCAAGGCTCTCATTTCATGAACAGCATCACTGACAATGGCAATAATAAACGTACATCGTCCCTCAGTCCCAGTGGATGCGAACATCTTCAGAGATTAAGTAATGCTAATGCATTGCCCTTTTCAAAAGACATGACATTATTGAACTAATCCTGGTAGTAGTGTGCTGACATAAGCATCGGAAGATAGTAAACAAATGGGAGATAGATGGAATCTACGCAGCCTCTGATGCAACCGAGAGGACAAGCATGGGCACCAAAGAATCATCAGTTTTTTTTTTAATTCATATGAGCGATAATCCTTTGGAAGAATCGTCATTGGCAAAAGCTCACGGCGGTGACAGGCGCACGCATTCAGAAACTGCCATGAGCCGAACAGACGAAAAGTGCCTTTGTGGAATATAATACTGCATGGTGGATTCAATAATTGGTGATTAGTGCAACCATTGGAGGCAAAGAGTGGATAAGAGGGGTCGGTGGGTTCATGACTATTGACTACCGGCTAGGAGTACTAGATTTGTGTTCGTGTAGATCTAGGATAACTCACAAATCCCAAATGTGAGGTGAGTGCAAGAAGAAGAGGCCAAAGGAAATGCATAAATAAACTATATAGGAATCCATCAAGGCCAATGTTTATAGGATGTCTTAGTAAAGAAAAGTCAAACTCTTGGAACATATCACAAACTATTGTTATATTTGTGAATTGCACGCCCTTGCTTTTGTTTCAAATTATATATGGGTCAGTGTAGCTTTGTCTTAAGTCAAATTCTCTAGTTTTGATAAAGTTTTCTGGAAAAAAATATGTTAACTTCATGCAAGTTCAAATAAATAAATGCAACAACGAGACAAATCTCTTGGGGAATTAAATGAAACTAAGTGTCAATTAGTGTATTTTTCTACAGCCTTAGTACAAGTTAGATAAGTTTGATATAAGACAAAGATTAATTGGTAAAGTTGGATTTTTTTTAATTAGGGCTTGTTTGGATTCACCCTTCTAAACTTTAGAGCTTTAAAAGCTTTAGCTCACTTTTGAGGTCTAAAACTTTAATGTGAAATGGGCTAAAGTCTAGAGGTAACTTTAGACCACCTCTTTTGAGGCTTTAGCTCTAAAGTTTTGAGCAGTGGATCCAAATAAACCCTTAGTATATCGATAACCCCGATAGGGTCCCTCCCGCGTGTGAGTTGTTTCTCTTTGCTGAACTCCTACTCAGTAGCTTTGCTCATTGTTCAAGCCACTTCGTAGGTATGCAGCGAATGATCTGATTGTGGAAATTGTTCATTCGGTGCCCAATGGAAAAGGTTTTTTTTTTAATGTGTTTGGACATCCCTCTTAGGTGGGCTTCCATGAAATTGGTTTAGGAGAGCTTGGAGATTCGCTTTAGGTCTTGTTTGGATGCATGTGTATCCACCTCAATCCACATGTGTTGGAGTGGAATACAATTGAATTTAGTTTAATTCCACTCCAATCCACTGCAATATATATAGATCGAGATGAATACATGCGCATCCAACGAGACCTTAAGAATTATATGAAGTCTAAATTTTACGAGAGAGTGTAGTCTGATTAAGACACACAATCGTTGAAATCAAACTTATCAGCCCAAGCCGACACAAGGCACAAGCAAGGTCCCTTCCGGCGCATAGTTTTTATGGATTCCCTAACTCGGTCTAGGATTGGCTGACACAGATCCAATAGAGGACAAACCAGTTCAGCAGAACACAAAAAATGACATTTTTGCCCTTGGTTTTACTGGTCAAGAAAAGGTGGAGTGAGTGGATCAATGGCAACGAGGCCAGATTTGGCGAAACTTGCTCGTCCGTTCGTCACCTGCACTCCTGGAGGCCAAGCCAGAGGCCAGGGCGGCTGAGAATCTGAGATGGCAAGTTGACATTTTTTTTTTGTTTTGTTTTCGGCAAGTCATGTCAGGTGAACGCAATGCAAATGCATCGTATCGTATCGTATCGTATGTATGCAGCCGCGTCCTTGTCGCCGGCCGCCATCTCCTTTCGACGTCAGGGTTTTTTACCGCCGTCGCCGTCGGCATCGGCCTCACCATCGTCCGCGGGACCGGGACGGGACGCCGGGAGCTAGGATAGGAAGATGGCGAATGGAATATGCGGCGGCATATCGCGGGAGCCAGCGACCGATATGCGGCGGCATGTCGAGGTCACCCCTCCTCAGTCACGCTCTACTCTGTCACTACGGGCGGCGGCTGATGCAGGGGAGTCGCCGCCGCCGCTGCCAAATCACACCACACCACCACTCACCAGGGGCAGGGCCCCGTCCGTCGCCGTCGTGTACCGGCCTGGAGACCGTCCAAATCTGGCCCTGCAAGCGGCCTGCCTGTGGAGCCGCGGGACTGTGCGTGGCCCGACACGGTCTTGACTCTCGAGGCCTTGGCCACACGCTGCTCGGGACGGGTCGCTTTCCCCCGAAAGGCACTGGCACTGGCACGAGCACCAGCAGCCAGGAACCAGGAACCGCCACAGCCAGACAGACGACCATGGCGGGCCGGGGCGCGGACACCAACGGCCAACCAGACGCGATGCCTTGCAGCCGCACGCACACGCTGGTCCCTCCCGCCCGGCGCCGAGCACAGGCCACGGAGGCACAGAGCCAAGCTCTTGGCATCCGCGAAGCGTTGCCCCGGCCCCTGGGTGCTCGCCACCCTCGCGGTCCGCCGCGTCGCGGCCGCACCGCCTGCTGCTCTACCAGTCTACCACCACCACTAGCCCAGTAGTAGTAGGCTAGGCTAGCAGCCGGGCCCAAACTAAGAGCAGAAAGCGACCACCACGCCACCACCAAAGGCAGAGGACAAGGACCCCGGTCCGACCGGCGCTGCATTTCGTTTAGGGGCGCGTTTAGTTCTACAAATTTTGTATATTACACGATTCTTCACTGTAGTATTTCGTTTGTATTTGTGAATTATTGTCTAAACATTGACTAATTAGACTTAAAAGATTCGTCTCGCAAAGTTAAAGCAAACTGTGCAATTAATTTTTGATTTCGTGTATATTTAATACTCCATGCATGTACCGCAAGTTTGATGTGATAGAGAATCTTCTTTTTGTATAGTGCACTTTTGAAAACAAGGGCTGAGGATGATCACACCATACCACCGCAATAGGATAATTTAGCTAAAACCATTCACGGTATATACCGTCTGACGCATCTTCTTCGCCCGAGAGAGGAGAGGATGGCTGAAGATATATAGAAATATACCCATCCAGACCGAGAAAGGGATAACTCTATGTTTTGGCATCGAACTATCCGTCTGAGTTTGATTTTATCCTTCAAACTTGTAACCAAAAAATGCTGAACGCACCATAACGTCTATCCCGTCCGGACGCTCCTTCGTGGGCCTACGTCCCAGCCCAAAAAATTCTTCCTCGTCGATTCCTTCCGTTGACCCTGCTGCTCGCCCTGCTCTGCCAACCGATGTTCTGCATGTCGCTCCTCCTGCTCATGTTCCGTGTGCCGCTCTTGCTCCGCCGCACAACCTGCTGCTCCTGCCGCTGCTTCTGACCCTGTTTCGACGTCCGCCCCGCTACTCCTAATGCTACTCTTGTTCCGCCGCCTGCCCCACCCCCAACGACGCTAACAGGTGCCGGCAGCGCAAGGAGAAGCGCCGGGTCCTGGCGTGGAAGCCCTCTGGCCTCGCCTCCTACTACGGCTGCGGAGGAGGCCGCACCGGGATATGATGCATGTTGCAAATATAAGATTTCAAAATGTTTCAGAAGTTTGAGAGGTATGTTGCAAGCATTGTATATCGATGTTGCAAAAGTAGATCAGGATGCTGCACATATTTTAATGCCTATACACGTATGTTTCAAGTGTATATCTCAATTGTTTCATCTGTTCCAGACGAATGTTGCAAGCGGTTTATCTGGATGTTGCAAAAGTGGATCTGGATGTTGCATATACATGCATGTTGCAAGCATATGTTTTAAGTGTTTTCAGGTGTTTCATACGTATGTTTGCAAATGTTTCATGTGGATGTTGCATATGTTTGCAAGTGTTTCATCTATCTTTTTTGTATGTTGCAACTGTTGCATATGGATGTTTCAAAAATAGATCGGGTGTTGCACATGGGATACGCGTGGGAAGCGGCTGGCGACGCGATCCACGTTCGGGGCGGCGTGGGCGACGTCTGGAGCGACGCGAGCCCATTGCTGGTGCGCTCGCTTGCGCCCTGTGCGAGCAGCGTCCAAACGCTAGTGCCTGGATCTGGCGTCTGGGCGCTAGAAAGTCCGAACTTATAAACTAGAAAATCTTTGACCACAAGACTATTATTAGAATCTTTCATATTTGGACGGACTGATCATAGATCAGTTGGTTGGGTTCCTTGTGGTGGAACCTGCCTACCCGGATTCAAGTCCTCGACTTGGCACGAGTGCTTGCATTTTCCTGATGCTTTTAGTGGTAGGTGACGTTCCCATCGATAGCAAGGCGTTTTGGATGACTTCATGAATCTCGAAATCCTTTTAGTGGTAGGCGACCTTCCCATCGACAGTAAGACATTTGGGGTGACTTCTTGAATCTCGAAATCTCATTCGGAGGTGCTCATAGAGGCAGGATTTACATACATGTATATAGGGGTGAGTGTGCATGCGTGTTGTGAACGTCAACGTTGTACTGTATAATTCTAAAAATAAAAAATATATTTTTTATTTGGCGATTGAACTACATTAAAAAAATCTTTCCTATTTGGCGATTGAACTACATAGTAGTTTCAATGGCGGCTTTAGTAACGCAATGGCAACTGGAAGTTTGAGCCACTCATCAGGCCTCCCTCTTCTCCTCTCCACGCCACTCTATTGGTGCCGCCACCGCCTCCTCCTCCCTCCTCATGTGTTGCGCGGTGCCTCCTCTGCCTCCCTCTCCTCGTCCACTTCGCGCGAGGAACGAGGAGGGAGGAGACGACGGCTATGATGCCTGTGGAGTGAGAGAAGCCGAGAGATGGCGTGGTGACGAGGGAGGAGATAGAGGCCTAGGCTCCGTTCGCATGGTATGGTTATGGAGGAATTTGGATGGTTTGAAGAAATTCTAGAGAAATTTGTGAGAGGAAAATACTGTTCCGGATAAAAAAAAGAAGCGGATCAAGTCGGGTTTAAGGGCACGCGAACGGGGCCCTACTGTCTAATGAACCAGCATCGAAAACAATCGAATGGCTAAAATATAAACAGTTTTGATAGTTCAATGGTAAGAGATTTCTAACTTTCAATGGTCAAAAATGGACTTATCCATCGCTAGCATGTTCGCAGCAGTTCTTTGCGCTGCGGCTGTGACTGTTTGTAGCATTGGATACAGTAGCCCGTACTTGTTATCTTGCAGCCTAAAAAGCTGATGCAATCGTTGTTCAACTGCAAACGTTGAGCACCAGGCAGTACAATCCACTACTATATATTAATATAATATTTTCAAGACCTTGTACAAGTGCAACAGAATCAATTTCGCGGCGAGCCTGAAACTTGCAGCAAGCAGACGGGGCATCAGTATCGGCCACGAGGGGCGTGACGGCGACGCGCCGGCCGCCGCGAGCCATCCGTTCCGCCACTCAACTCCGGGGCCTGGCTGACCGTGACACGTGACAGCGATGCATACAATACAATACAATAGCCAGCCTGTCGGAGTTGCTGCTGACGACGGTGGCGCTTGCCGATTCCTTTTTTTCCTACGCTGGTACTGATTGGAATTGTTGGAATGGATTGGCTTGCTTTTCCTGTTTTGTTAATGATGCTGCCCACTGTCCTTGGATCTCCAACAGTGGCTAGCCACGGATGATATGCTCGGTGGCTCAGTGTCAGTGTAACCACACCACACACCCTGGCCCAAAGCATCTTTCTACTGTTATTTATTTTGCTTCATCTATATATAAACCTCCTTTTTAGGTCCCGTTCGGCTTGCTAAATCTTAGCTGAAAAACACTGTTCTGGCTGAATTGTTGGGAGAGAAAAACACTGTTCCGACTAAAAAAATAAGCCGAACATAGGGTAAGCCGAACGGGGCCAAATCATCATGGTAATGAAAGGCCACCTTGTCTGTCGATTAGTGAATGGACATGGATCTATTCTATCATGACCCAGTTCACAGGCATAGTCCTGATCATGAGTTAGTACTTCTGTGCCAGAAGAAATGACCCAGGCCCAAAAGCCTTATTGGGTCCATGGGCTCAATCGAGTAGTGAGTGACTGAACACGAACCGAATATAGCATCTCCACACATACACTTCTGTTCTGTGGACAAACAAAACCAGGCACAGAGTTAGATAGTCTGTTCACATGGGTCCGCGACGTTCATTTCACATGCATCCCACAACGCGAAAAAGCACTCGTTGCTGATCTTGGTATAGGTACTAACGTCGAATGGAGCTAAGCAATAACATGAACACCTTCTACAATAGCAATGTGCATGACAGCGCCAGCACCACTCTGATCCTCTGTCGACCTCTGCTACCTATCTTTCAGCTCCTTTTCAAACTCGCGCAGCTTCTCCTGGATAGGTGAAAGGAAGGACTTCATATCCTTGCAGATTTGAGCTTTGTCATCCGAGGACAGATCCTTGGCATCGCTTAATGTTACGTTTACCTGAAACAAAACAAAAAACAAGCAAGACAATACCACGAGAACCATCTGTCATAATGCGCGATCTATCGATTCAATTCACCACTAGAGTCACATGAGTAGAGAGTTTCATGCAAGATAGCGTTTTCACCTCCAAGTCTTCAAGCTCGCCAAATGAAAATTCAGGAATCTCTAGATGACCTTTGACCTTCTTGTTTTCTTCCTTAATTAACCATTCACCTGAAGAACACCACCATAAGTGGTATTTCAGTACAGGAACGCAATCTTGATGAAGGGTGTTGACCTTGGAAATGTAACAAAACAAAATCACCTTTAAATTTCAAGCTCAATTCATAAGTATAGCCTACTCTCTTCTTATTGCGGACAATGACTAAGAACGCCTGCCAAAAGAACCAAGATATTGCTCAGCAACTTTGGTTATCGTAGTATATGAGATACAGTTAAAGGGAAAAATTATCCCAAGATACATCAGACTAAGACAGTAGAGACAATTCCTTTCTACTGGCTTAAATGCAACCTAACAAAAAAAAGGGTAAAGCCAAAACAACAAAAGTTAGCACTCCATTATCAAAATACAGAAATGGAAACAGCCCTCCCCCCTCCGTAAGCATATACACTTTTGTAGTTTGAGTGTTCGACAGGAAGAAACAGAAAACTACCATAGACCTAAACTGAATGTCTATCTAATGCCTGGTTCATGGAGTGAAAAAATGTCACAGAACTTATATGAATCTTAATGGAAGATAAAATTGCTAGCTGCCCAAAAACTAATGTTTGTAAAATTTTCAATTTTCTACTTTGCTGAGCCACTATTGAGGCTCAGGCTAGCATATGTTTCGGTACTCGCCAGTTCCTACTTCTATCTGTATTGTTTTAGCGTGCTGCGTGGACATCAGGAACTAATAGAGTACAAATATGTCAAGATCAGTTTAAAACTCAAGCATTCGTAGTGCATTAGTAAAAAAATGTATACTTGTTGATCCGCAAACAAGCAATTATGGAGGAAAAGTTTTCAGGAATGTAACACGTAGAGGGTAAACCCTGAGGCATGGTTCAAAAACTAAGCTAAGAAATCATAAAACCCTTATGATAATTTTTGTGTCTCATATATATAATACTCGATATTTCCTCTCCAAATTCTTTGAAGGCTATTAACTTTTACTTTACTATCTTCTAACAGTTTCATTGTTTATGTTGATGAATATAGCAGAGAAAATTTATCTGAAGAAACAATAGGAATGACTGTCCACCATTGAGCACTTTTGAATAAAATGAAAGAGATACTCTGTTCTGTGAAAACAGGCTACTCAGTACTCACGTCGCCTGAGCATCTGGATACTTCATAAACAGATGCCTTGCTAGTAGATAACTCCAAAGGATCTAAAGACCCCAGCAAATCCTGTACTTGAAAAGTATCGAAGACTACTCAGGTGAACATTCAAACAGAAAACAGTAGTGCGTGTGTGATGTGCATGTATTCCAACAGTTAACTGCACGAGTCTAACCTTTATCCTACTATTGGCCCATGAATTCACATTCTTTTCCTCCCAAAGTGCTAGCCTGCAAACAACACAACAAAACTTAGTTGAGCCACATTGCTGCCAATAACAAAGTTAGGCGATTCAATAGAAGCTATTAGAACTGGTTAGGAAAGATCACACCAGTGACCAGGCAACATTGAAACCGCATTATGAAACCAATGTTGTACTGATGAAATAGAAGTTCAGGATAGTGTCATCCAACTAACACCGAATACCCGAGGTGTTCTGTGCATTTCGATAATTCCAATGCAATCATCTTTGGTGTCAGCTTCGTGGTTAAATGGGAGTTAGTCACGAAGAGCAAAAGCTGAAGGCTTCCATGAAGCTTTCCGTACTAGGCACATGATTGGTTTATGATTTTTAAGTCATGCCGTGGACTGTGAGCTTGTGACATTCGTACTTACAAACATGGATCGTTTGATTTCAGTTTTGAGAACTTGCACGAGGATATACTGTTATATACCCCGCCTATCTACTGTGAAACACGGATCGATCGATTTCAGTCTTGAGAACTGGTACGAGGATATACAGTTATATACCCCGCGCCTACCTACTGCATTAGGTAGAGTCGTAGAGAACCGATTGCAGTTAGATTACAGAGAACTAAATAGTGTTCCACAGCTTTTCTCACAACAAGGCAGGTCCAAAGATATTTTTTGTTTTTAAGATTTATAAGTCCAAAGTCAAGTCAATCTCAATCAGTCTAGCTTCTACTAGTATGTCACTACAGGCATCTATAGCACAAGGAGAAAATAAAAACAAAACATTCGCCCCATTTCGGCATTTCACCATCAGACATATATCAGGTTAAAGGGAGGGAGAGGGAGCGGACCTGGTTCCAGACGGAGCCGAGAGTGGCGGGCGCGGGGTTGGCCGCGAGGTCGGCGGCGTCCAGCTTGCGTGGCGCGGGCAGCGGGGCGGCGTCGCCCGTCGCCTCCCGCACCCAGTACCTGTACGACGTCGTCTTCTCCGCCGCCGCCGCCGTCGCAGACGCCTCCTCCTCCATGTCTCGCGCTAGCCGGGGACTCTAGGCGGCGGAAGCGGAGATCGTCTTGCTCCTTTTTATTTTTTTTTGAAACTTCGTCTTGCTCCTTGGGGCAGGTGCAGTTGGGGTTGGGTCGGTGTGCTGCCTCAGCAGAGTTTGGCAACCGTCCAGAATGAGGCATGGAGTAGTGTTAAGCTGATTTGCTGTTTGCGAAAAATATTATTCGTTCGCTGAAAAAAATACGGTTTATAAAACTTGGGTGGACATGGACACGCCACTCCAGTTTTGACGCTTTCAAAATTTTCCTCCTGATGTCTCGGGAAGATTCCTCGCCACATGCTTCTTTTTTTTTGCATGTAATTGGTCTTTTACTCGCTCATTAAATCGCATTAAGATCACAATTTGTTTCACGTCACTCCCTTTGGTACAAGACCAATTTTTTCCCTCCATGTTTTTTTGAATGTCTTTTTTCCCTCCATGTTACTCTTTGGTTTCCGTCGGTTCTGTCACGCCACGTGCGTCTAGGCACTAGAAATGTCCATGCAACCCTTCAATTGCTAGACTTAGCGAAGCCGCCACATCTGGTTGACTCTAGTACTCCTCTCTCTTGCCTCGTGTTCACTTGTGCCCTCTCTTTCCTTGAAACCCTAGCGGTGGCGGAAGCGAACAAAGCAAATCCCCCCTCATTTTGGCGTCGCATGGGGTATGAGGACATATATGAGCTTTAGGGACAGATTGGATCGGGTTTGGAGAAGAAATGGCGAATAACGGGGAAGGTGGCCATCCGAACTGGTTCCCAGATGGGTGAATTCTTCTTCTCTTCGATTGGATCTCGTTTCTTTCGATCTTGAACTATAGCTTGTACCACATTGATTCTGTTAAGATTGATCTCGTTAGATGTACATAAATTCGTCCTTGTTCATCTGTAGGATGCACCCAGAGACGAGCAACCCTTATAAATTAGGGTGATTGCTTCCAATACGCACGCACGGTGGGTTTCCATTAACAAAGTTGTTCTAGATAAGTTTCCTTGCAATTATGGAGATTTCATGAAGGTATTCTACTTCTGTGCTGACAGGGCAACACTGAAATCAGTTCGGACCAAGACTCAGTTTAGATGCTTGTGAAACATAAGACTACCAAGTGTTGTTTCTTGTCTTTTGCTTTAGTCCTGCCACTTGTCATGACCCAACGGTTGTTCCAACCGAAACTTTTCAGACACACCTCTTGAAGCTCAGAACCCTAACCAACACCTTCCATGGACCCTGACCCGAACTCTTGCTACATATCGCAACACGCTTGGATCAGGAATCTCCATCAATCTTTGTCACAAGGCTATAACCTCTTTTCGGCTCTCCTCCAGCAATGGACAGTCTTGTTAGCGTCATGAAAGCTTTTGGATCTTAGCTCCCGATGGACAAGGGTTTTAATTCAGCTCTTAAACTTTATAACCGTCAACTGAAGTCAACTTGGATCAATTCGATAGTTGACTTAGCTACAAAAATCTCAAGGTTATTGTCCAAAAGGCACTCTCTGATCCTCTAATGGTTCCCATAATGTTTATGAGCGTAACTAAAGCCTCAATTTCCATCTCTCTATCTGGAATCAAAGTTCCCCAAAATTCATGTTCTCTCCAGATTTCCATCTCTCTAATGGTTTTGTTCAAAATGTAGTTTTTTTTAGTTTTAAAAACTCTACTCATGAGCTCTTTTGTCTAATACAGGCTGTTAGGTTATTGCCATATAATTAACAACATTACCTTATATTATGGATGTCATGGTTATCATAAAATAATTATAGCTTTTAATCTTCATAGATACTATGAAACATAAACAGATATATAGCATTTACAGCATTGTTTTCCTTGAACGTTTGATAATCTTTTTCTCGTCGCAACACACCCTTATATTATGGATGACATGGTCATCATAAAATAATTATAGCTTTTAAATTAAATTTTGTAGAAATGATAGAATATAAGTAGATATATAGCATTCACGTTGTCATTTTCCATGAATGTTTGATAATTTTTTTCTTGTGACAACGCACAGATATTTGCTAGTATATATATAAATAAATAAATAATTAAATCCCAGCATGATTCGTCTGGGTGGGTGGGTGCGTGGGCCTGAATTCGGACGAAACTCCCAGCGTACCTAGGTAGACTGGGCCTTGATTCGGCCCAGGTGAATAAGACGCAACCGATCCTCGTTGCCACACACGCGCGCTTGTGCAGTTGTGCCCGACTGCCATAAATAAAAAAAGAAAAAAAAAGTAGGCCGCTGGCCAAACCAAGCCTCCGTAATTTCCTCGCGCTGATTCCTTGCCAACCTCGCGTGTCCGTTCTGCTGCACCTATCTGAAACGTACCCTTTACCTGTTCTGTTCATGCACTACAGTACTTCCTATTCTATGGACTTGTTTGTTCCATCGAGTAAAGTTTTGGTGTGTCACGTGGATGTTCGGATACTACTACAAAAATAAATTACAGAATTCGTCGATAAATCGCGAGACGAATTTATTAAGCATAATTAATCCGTCACTAGCACATATGTTACTGTAGCATTTTATTGTTAAATCATAAAATAATTAGACTTAAAAGATTCATCTCGTAAAATAGTTATAATCTATATAATTAGTTATTTTTTAGTCTATATTTAATACGTATATGTCCAACGTCCAATGAAATAGATGTAAACTCTCGAGCAGCAGGAACGAAACAAGGCCTACGTCGCTGGTCGCAAATCGACAAATCGACAGACTCACAGATACACTTGATATTTCTTACTCTAGTGCTCGAACAAATCCAAATCGACAGACTCACAGATAGACTTGCTATTTCTTAGGTACCGTTTAGTTTCTTCCTAAAATGTCAAATTTTTTAAGATTTTTTGTCACATCGAATCTTTGACACATACATAAAGCATTAAATATAAATAAAAAATAAAACTAATTACACAATTTAAACGAAATCCACGAGACGAATCTTTTAAACTTAATTAGATTATGATTGACACTAATTGCTAAATAACAACAAAAATTATTACCGTCTCATTTTGTAAATTTTTTCCATCTAAACAGGCCCTACTCTAGTGCTCGAACAAATCCAAATCGACAGAGCCCTGGTTTAGTTTCAAATTTGGAATTTGACCTAGTAGTTTTATTTGCTAATTATTGTTCAAATATGGTCGGCTCAAAACATTGTCCGTCCGTTCCTACCAAACTATGCAATTTGTTTTTTTCGTTTACATTTAATATTCCATCTTCGTTCCTCGTGAACATTCGATGTGACCTACTTAACCTTTTTGGAATTTTGGACTCCAACTAAACAAGGGCAGACTCACAGATACACCTGCGACCTAGTAGTAGTAGGCTGCTTGTTTCTGGTCGGCGACTTGTCCGTCCGTCGCCTCCGTGCTGTTTGTCCAGATCCTTCGGCCCAACCATCTTCGTTCCTCGTGCGTTCCTGTGACCTACTGACCTGTCCTCCTGTCCTATTTCCCCCTCGTTGCTGTCTCCATGGTTCTACTACAGCCTTTGTTTCGATTCTTCTTCTCCGTGCAAAACGACGGCAACAGCACGAGAGTTTGCATAATTGCATGGCTATTTCGCCTCGACCCCTCTCTTCCATCTAAGCTGGCCTCGATTGCAGCGTTCCATTCTTTGGAAACCGGTTTATTTAGTTGGCCTAGATCTTTTTTCCACTTTGCAAAAGTTCTGTTTTTTTATTGCAAGCAATAAGTGCCGGTAGATAGGATGATGCAAAAAGCTTTTGGCGTAAACTAATCTACAAAAATCATTGGTACGCAAATGATCAGTTTCTGCCTTTTCTGGTGCATCTCCGCTAGAAGACAAAATATACCTGGGATGTATCCTTTTATGACGTCATTTTCGTGTGAATGAATGATTTTTTATGAAACGGTTTTGGATCTCAGCTTTTGTGACGGTGTACATTTTTTTTAAAGATTAAGTCAATTTTTGGCCCCTCAACTATTGGATTCGTCTAATTTTGATCATCAACTATAAAACCGTCTAATGTTGGTACCCTAAATGTCAAAACTATTCACTTTTAGCACATGGACGAAGGCATGGCTGTTTTGTCCAACGTGGAGTGGGATTGACCATGCCACGCTGGCGCTGATAGTGCCACGTTGGCCCCTCTTTCCTCCCCTCACCACCAAGCGGGCGAGCTACATGCTACGATGGCGGTGCATGTGCGGTCGTGGCGGCATCGACACCTGGCGTGGGCGGTGGCGCTCGAAAAGTTCGCGGCGGTGCCCAAGCATCACGACAAATAGCATGAAAGGTGCTACATTCGATGGCTATCACTCCCCCGCGCCACAGTCGAGCTCGCCGCGAACACTGCCTCCCTACGCCGCAGCCGAGCCCGCCAGTTCCGCTTAAGCCTGCTCATGGGCGCCCGTCATGCCGGCCATTGTCTTGCGCACAGCAATGACCATATGGCGCCGCCTGACCTCGATTGTCTGCAGCGTGGCCGGGACACCGCCGCGTTCCAAGCCGAGCCCCCTCCACCCTAGTCGTGCTCTCCTCCATGTTCCCCTCTCCCTACAGCACCCGACGCGCCTCTCCGTGGCACGAGGGTGGCGCAGGCAGTAGGGCCACCGGCCACATGGCGCGAGCGCTGGCTTTGCGTGCAAATGCGGTGGTTGGAAGGCATAGACGTCTCTCTTCCCCTCTCAAATTCGCGATGTTTCCAATCTCTTTGGCGAACCGCCTAATCTAATGCCTTCCAGGAGTACCCGTCTTCCATTAGACACTAAGTACTCAAGGGAGGATATCAAATTACGCAGTTCCGTCGGGTACACCCCAAGGAAGAACCCAAAAATCAACATTTTTCCATCAGAATCATAAATGAGAGAATAAAGCTTACAACATTCTTAAACCATTTCTTACATCACTTTTAATACAACATCAGAGTATAATATGTATTGTTATAACAACGGAATGTAATCATATTATCAGAGTTATGAATAATTTAAATTAACAGCGGAATATAAACAT